ATTAAAGCATTTCATTATTTTATGTAAGTGTAATGTTTAAATTCAGAAAACAAAGAAAGTTTCCTTGGGAATAAATTTGGTGTTGCTCTTTCTTCTTCGTCTAGTACATTTAGTTCTGACACCGCACTGCTAGTCTGCTGAAGACAATCTGTATGCTACAGAATACTACAGATTTAATCTTCAAAAGAGTATCCTCTAGTATTCTTCTCCAGATTTATGGCTACCCAGAAGGAACAAAGGCAAAAGCCTGTCCATTAATCTAATGAACTCAGGGCTGCATTGATTTTCCTAGGACTGCTAACTTCCTGTGGTTTAAGTAGGTATCTTGATTAAATGATGGTTAAAGTAAGCAAATTGAATTCCCAGTTGATGCAATGCAGAATCTACCATAGGAAGGTCCTTACTGGCAGAATGCCTGCCTCTTGTAAGGAGAGCCCAGGCAAGCTTCCCGCTACTATACATTATGGATTAGATTCAGAATTGTGTTGATGCTCCTCTCATGCTTTAGGGCCTGGGTTAGTAATCACCCCTGTTACTTGGCCATCACAGAGAGCATCATCAGCTCTCTGACAGCTGCTACCTCTTTGTGATGGACATCAAAAATCAAAAAGAAACAAACGTTTTAGGTAAGCACTGACAGTTAGCAGATGACAGTGTTTAGAAGAATCCTTCTCTAAGTAAACTGGGTTGCAGAGGGGGTAGTTGGCAACTTTCCAGAAGCACACATCCAGCACACAGTTGTGAGTTCATGCTCTATGGGAGTTGTTTCAAAAGTAGCACAGAAGTTTGGGCAAGTGCAAGTGTATGTGTGTGCAAGTATTTTTAACCTGTGTTTTAGTTTGATTTTTGGAATCTTCACGCCCTACTACCGCAGCTCAGCTGGGATTCAACAAACACATCTTAAGAAGGCAGGCTCCTTGCCTCAGGTCCTGCTACACAACAACCAAAGAGAGATTGCACTTGTGGAGGATGATGGTTTTGTTCCAAAGGAGAAGATGAAATAGAGAGATTGGTCGCTCTTAGCTTCTGCTTCTCTTTCTCCAGGAGAAGAAAAAAGAGACTACAGGGTCAGTTCAACAGCCAACACAGAGGTATTCCATGTCAGTTTGGACACCAGTCGCTGTATGATACATGACCTATAGGAGGCTTGTGTCCTAGAGTGAGAGGCAGCCACAGAATGTACCTTAAGTCAACTAAAAGGACAGGATGCACTTCTGCATGGCCAACTGAACTGTACCTCACATGGCCAGCTGGCAAAAGGACAGGAGGAGCAAGAGCCCACGGCATCTGCTTTTCCATTCTCATTTTAAGCATGAAAGACAGCAAGAAGAATGTATTTCTGGTTCTTAACACTGGTGTTAGAAGGAATTGCTTAAAAAAAATAGAAAATGAAAATAACTTGTGTATCAGGAAAATACTCATGAAAAACGAACGTGCTGAGATCACAGGGCTTGGCTACTTCATTGACAACCCATTCACAAGAGGTGGGATTGGGGTCTCTGCCTTCTTGGGGTGGGGAGGGCTGCTAGTCCTCAGTAGCTTTTCATAGTATGTGGAAAAGTACCCCTGGAATAACCCATAATGTATATATTTCAGAAAATTCCAGGGGAAAATCTTTTTCTCCATTTGTTGTTCCTCTTTCTATTCATTACATAATATGCCAGATAATATTACTACCATCACACTCAAATGGTTCCCCTGACACACATGTGTGTGAGAGAAGCTCTTCAGGTGGTGTATCCAGCACAGGCTCAGTGACCAAGGTATTGCAGAAGTTGTCCTAGACTGCAAGGGATAAATCTGACTGGTTCAAACTCCCTGTGATACATTAAATTCACCAAACTGAAGGAGTTCTCCTGTCCTCCCTCAGCCCATGGTTGCTGAAAAATAGTTTAGCTGCAAAAAAAGGTAATTGTAATCCAAAGTTCTTTTCAGCTCTTATCTCTCACCCGTCACTGCCTAAATTAGAAATAAATGATTGAGAGAAGTGGAAGAGTTATTTTATGATTCAAACTGATACATAAGTTTGATAACGTAGAACAGAAGAAGAAAGAAAGAAAGCAGAAAGACAGAAAGAAAGGGGGAAAAAAAGAAAAAAAGAAAAAACAGCCCTGAGAAAAAATGAGAATGATTTATTTTAACATGGGTGTTACTTTCTTTTTCCTGTGCAGCACATTAAAATCCATTAATTCCTTTGTCAACTTCACTGTGCAAAGCAATTACCTCTTATTCCAACTGTTTTTCAGATTCTGTTTGACAGAGAGCTAATGCACCTAGGAGTGACATTTGCATAAAAATCTGTTACAAAAGGAAAAAAAAAAAAAAAAAGGATTCAGTTGTGTTGGCTTTCCCTGTTTTCACTGTACAAATCATAGTAATTAATCTGTATTTAACCAGTTGAAATAATTTTCCAGCAACAAATGTCAATGGACCTGAGGATTCTGGCATCTCCATTGCTGGTGTTAGTGTAATGCTGTGCTCAGAGTAAGGGCCAGGCTCTGCCTTTCACCTTCCAGGGTAGAAGCAGACCTTCTACAGCAGATAGTTTCTGGAATCTTGTTTGATGACACAAAATGCAGTGATGTAAAACTGATTTATCAGCAAAGCTTCATCTCCAACCTGCTTTCAGGAAATAACAATATTATGCTCAGTAAAGTCACCAGACTATAACCCAGCACACCTGAAATCTGAACCTGATCTGACACTCATGAAGCCACGGAATGTCTCAATAGAGCAGTGCTTCCTAAATTTTTGCCTGCTTTTTCTTGAGATAGGTTATAATGATCCTTTCTCCCCACTTCTATGTTGTCTTTCCATAAGACAAGTCATGCTGACTCAATCTTTATTTTCAGAAGGAATTCAGTCCTTTTCAGCACTGATTACCAGAATGGCCAACGTAGCAGAGCAGGCAGAGATGCTATACGAGATTTTCCCTGTTGATTTTAACTCCTCACTCCAATGAATCATCCTCATGAAAAAAAAAAAAAACTTGGCAGATTAAACAGTGTACTGGCAGGGAGACAGGTCTCAGGTGTCGGGGGGAGCAGTCGTGCTCCTTTCTGTTTGTCACCTAAGGCAATATACACATACAGACAACGCTGAGAGCTGATTCCTTGATTCCTTAATAGATTTTTCTACATGAGTCCTCTGATATAAATTTGATGGGCTGTCCACAATATAGAAATGCAAACCCACTTCATCCAAACCAGAGCCACTTGGCTCAGGACATGATATTTGCAGCAAAAATACTGAAAAATAGGCAGAATCGTACCTGATCTAGAATGACCTCAGCTGACTTAATACTGACAAGCAGTACTTGGCTCTATATAGGAAAGATAAAGAGAAATGGAATTTCTTTCTGAAGCTATTTTAAGTGCAATGACTACTATATATAGTGTCAGAATAAGTGGCTGAAGTTAAATTTAAAAACAGACATGTTTATGTTTTGCTGTTTCCAAATACAGTCTCATGTGTTCCAAAGTCTGAACAACAGAAAAAAAAGAAAGAGCAAAAACTATAGTAAAAAGCCCCATCCTTTTGCAAGCAAAGTGAGGTTTTTCAGTACCTTCAGAGGGTAAGGTAAAAGGAAAAACAAGTGTCATGAGACTATCACCCATTTTGATATTAAAGGATTCTTCCTGAGCCTTGTCTGTGAGCTGGCATACTGTCAGGTCCCCTCTAAGTCTGTCATTAGCTATTCCAAGACAGCTGTAAAGCAGTCCAGTGCATCTGACTTCTCTGTACGTCAAATTCTTGCCCATGTCAATATAGTAAAATTAAAGAAATTGTACATATTCCCACAGATAACCTTGCTAACCTATTAGAGTCTCAGCTTTGGTAGAAGGAACACAAAGAGTGATACATGCATGCTATGTCACTGCAGTATAATCAAACTTAACATTTCAAGTAGATTGTGCTCAAAGAAAGATACTCTAAGGCCAGCATCTAATTTATTGCATGGGACAAAAACTATTTCCCATTCTGTGCTTTCTGCACGCTGTAGAAAATCCATCCATGCATGAATTCTTGTACAGAGAAGTGTTTCTTAAGCAAAAGCAAGGAGCAATCTCTATTTCACAGTCACATAATTGTAGGGCTTGGAAGGGACTGGGGATCAAGTCCAACTCCCTGCTTTTCACTGTTTGTTTTTGAGGAATACCCTTTCTCTGGAAAACAGAAGAAAGGCAGAGCGTGGAAAGTGATCTTATTTATTTCCACCTAAAAGGTGTGTCGGAATTGGAAGAGCCATCTCACTTCTGGGGCATGCTTCAATAAATACAATTCTGGTTACCATGCTAACAGGAAACCACTCAACTGAGTGCAGTAAAACAAAAGTGCAGAAATGACATTTCCTTGTAGAAAGAAGGAAATATATTCAATTAACAAGACTGCAGGTTTTGCCAACCGCAGAGAATTTCACAGTTCTTCCCTTTTGCAGAGTGCAATCTGCGGTCGGCACGTAAGGCTCCTGAGCATCAACTGCTTCTTCCCAACAGGACCTCAGCCTCTGCCCTACGTCCTGAGGGCCAGCACCTCCCGATGCCAACCGGGTGAACCCCACCACCCTCTCCGAGCGCCCTTTCACCGCGCAGCTCCTTCATCAGCCTCGCATTTCCCATCCTCCCGGAGTTCTCCGTCAGGACCCCGACCCTTCCCAACGGATCACAGCGCGTCCCCTCGGGCTCCGGGACCGCCCGCCGCGGCCGTGCGGTGGGTGCGGGTGCGGAGCGCTGTGCCCCAGAGCGGTACCACTCCCGGCCGCCGCTGTCCCGCAGGTGTCACGCTTCGGGGATTGCTGATGCGAGGGGAAAAATCCCACGTTCTGTTCGGACACGGGAAGGAGAAACTGTCTTAATTCTCGGGTTGGGAACAAAGTGGTGCGCAACGTCGCCCCTTGCCCGTGTAGGCGCAGAAGTGACATGGAGACTTTTTGTTGTAGAGGGTCAAGAAGGGAACCAAAGATTTAGAAGGAAAATACAGCAAAGTTACGGGGAACTTACTTGGTTTAGGTGCGTGTGTTGGCAGCCGGCATCTTCCTTCCGAAGTTCCAGCGGGTCACATTTTCCCCGGGAAGCTCCCTTTTTGTAAGTTAAATCCCTCTGAGAAATGTTTGTTTTGTTTCTCTCCCTCTCAGCCACTTTTCCTCATTTTTGCTTTATTTTCTCCATGTCTGCCCCCGGTGCAGACGCTCGGACGCTAGCCCACCGGTTAGAGGCTCTCCATCACTCCCAGCCCAGGGGACCGCGCCTGCCGCCGGGCTTCGGAGCAACAGATGCGAACCACGACCTTCCCCGGCTGCTCAGTGCGGCTTCTCCTCCTTCCCTGGGAGAGCCTCATGCTGCCCGTCCAAAGTAACGGCTCCTTCCGACGCGGTGCTTCTCCCCCGAGCGCAGCGCTGCGAGGCAGGAAAAGGACACGGAGATAAAGGGGAAAATCACCACAGAGAGACACTCGCACCGGCTCGTGCCGCCCGCGGCGATGCGCTCCCCGCGAGCCCGGCGGCGGCTTTGCCACCGCGTCCCCTCCCGCCGCCGCCCCCGCCGCGCTCCCCGCGCCCTTCGCCGCCGCACTGCAGCGCCCCCCTGCGGGCGCACCGCACACTGCGGCCCCTCCGCGTGCCCCGGGGATGGAGGGGGGCGCAGCGCCCACCCAGCGATGGAGGTGTGCGGGTGGGGACAGCTGAAACGCCGAGAGATCGCGGAAGAGGAGACGGTAGCTTCGGCGAAAGTTCGCTGCCGTGCCTCTGGGAAAGCCCCCGAAAAGCCAATAAATAAATAAATAAATACATAAGTAAAAGAAATCTATGTATTTATTACTGTTTATTTATTTGAGCCCTTTCTAGGACCTGGACACGCTGCTGACACAGAGCAAGGCACGCATCTGCCGCTCACTGCGTGCAGAGGCCGCGGGGTCTCGGCTTTGGCGGTGCCCGCAGCGACCACCCCGGCGACTGTCACCACGCACCCTCCCCCCAGCCCCGTGCTCTGGGTGCTCCCGGTGCCCGGTGAACGGCCGCCTCTGCGGATCAGCGGGGGGATGCAGGAAGGAGGAGGAGAGCAGAGGGATGAGACGGGGCCAGGAGGAGGGATGTACGAAATGCAAAACGCACGAGTACCCCTCGTGCTGAGCTTTGCCCGTATCTCTAGCGGAGACTTGAGAGCGCTGAAGTGTGAAAAGCTTTGTGTGGAGCATAAGTGTGGTCATGCCATTACAGTAAATGAGAAGAAAGTGCCAGGCGCAGATGGCAGCATACAGCCCCAGACCTCCACGGGCAGCCCAGAAAAAGAAGCATTAAGTGCAGCAGAGGCTGAGTAGAAAGAAATGCCAGGTTCATTCTGCTCTGGGATTTTCACAGTTGCAGCTCCTGCATCACTGTGCATGCTGCTGCAGTACAGATTTGAGGCATGCCCCTAATGAGCTGCTGTGAAGATTTCGGCAGAACTCAGTCCTCTAGGGAGCAACTCAGAAAGCAGTGAGGTGCTGTGAGCAGTACAGCACAGGTAACGCGGCTCTGTCTGTCTCAGCCACCGAGATGATAATTGCACTCCTGAGATCAGCTCCTTCTAGCTTGGGTACAGACCAAATGCCAAAAGCAGCTACGCTGGGTAATGATCACTCATTCAGTACACATATGTGCATTGCAGCATATGTAGGTAAAGGGACAACTCCAAAAGTAATGTCTCCTATGTTGTTATGTTGGCCCATGACATCAGAGGCAGATGTTGGTGATATGGCAGTAGAGGTTGAACCTTCCCACCAATATCCCATTACATTCTGTTTCTGTGCGACAGATGGCAGCAGAGGGGCAGTCTGATACAATGGTGTCTGACATGGAAGTATATTTGAGGCAAAAGGTGTGGAACTGAATTCCTCCATCTGGAAAAAATGGAACCCGCAGACATTCATTGATGCTCGCTGAACATTTCTAGAGACCAAACAGTGGATGTGAGCTCAGTGAAAGATCTATGACACCATTTTCCCAGCAATGACACCATCAGCAGCTGGGAAACAGTGGGTCACTGCTGCTGGTACAGATTTTTTTACAAGCACAGCATGCAGGTTCTTGTTCACTGCTGCTGAAATGCAGAGCTCATCGTGGTGACTGTGTTGAAAAACAGTGTTCTGCAGCTGAGGATTTGCTCTACCTATTAGTGTTAGTGTGCACTTTGTACCTGTTGTAGTTTCCATGGAAATGAAGGCATTACCTTTGGAACAGCCTACATATATGCGCACACATACCCCCACATACACACAAAAAAGGGATGAGAGAATTAGGTAGATAGTGGGACCCTGTAGAAGCAAAGACAGCCTACAGTGTAGTGTGGAAAAGGCCGGACCATTGGATTGCATTGGTGATGCTAGTGAGAGCTCATCTACATAGCACTAGAGTATTTGCACACCTTGTGCATTAATTCATCAGCTGCTATCAGCACCAGTGAGATTAAGCCGCACTACTACAGATTGGAAGTGTAGACAAAATTTACTTTCAGAGGTTTTTGATGCTCACTTCCAAGAGCAGAGTGCTTTTTTCCCATACGTTTCCTTAATAGATCTTGAGAAGTCAAGTTCTATTTTGAGTGTATCATGTTTAATTTATCACAAGCAAATGCCTCTATAATTAACAGTATTTCCTATGGTTTTTTTATGTGTTTCGTTGTGACATTTCTTCTTTTCAGGGTTGAATGCAATGTGGTGCTATCAATGCGCTTTACAGTTTCTGGCATTTTACATATGATAACCCATTAGCAGTCTCCCGTGGTCTTGCCAGTGCTCATAATTCCCAATTAAATTAATGTTCAGATAAAATCTCCATGGTCTTACCCAGATGAAAACAAAGTAAATAGAATTTTATATCTGATTCAAGACAGTGGCGTCAGAATCACTGCTCTCCTGAACTTACGCTGATATATTTTATTCTCAGCATGTAGTGAGATGCCAAATGTCTCTCAGCAGTAGATGATGTGGCAGGGAGAGAGTGGCACAGGGAGAAAATAACACATTCTGTGGAACCTGTAACACACTCCACAGTTGCAGAGGTTACATGGTAATAGCATGACTGGGAATTCCTTTAGTTCACTCACAGTGTCACACCAAGTTAGAACAGAATCATAGAAACATAGAATTGCTCAGGTTGGAAAAGATCTTAAAGATCATCAAGTCCAACCACAACCTAACCATACTACCCTAACTAAACTAATAACCCTCGGCTAAATCATGCCCCTGAGCACCACATACAAATGGTTTTTAAACACATTCAGGGATGGTGACTCAACCACCTCCCTGGGGAAAATTAGGTTTCCCTTGAGACCTTCTCCATTTCTCCTCCTATGCCACATCACTCTCCTCAGAGCCTGGCAGCTGACCATTTGCAGTTCAGCTAAAATTTATATACCCGAAATAGCAACTAGGATGGTCTGCTCCCCTTCACTATGCAGATTGTACAAATGCTACTAGAAAGTATTTCTTATTTTATTTCATGAAAAAAATTTACATAGAGAAAAAAAAAGACAGATTGAAAACTAAGAGACAGATGGAAAATTTAGCAGGCTCTAATTAATTTAGCCTTGTACAGTCATTGGCTACAGGTAAGAGCATTTACAACAGGTGTAAAGCATGGTAACTTTATCAGAACCAGTGAAGCTAAGTTAGCTCATTTGAAGCTATTTTACATCAAGGAGAAAAGCACAGCAGAAATTCTGGCCACCCAGGTAAAAGATACTGTAACATTCGTCTATTCTTTTCATGCTAACATTCTTTTCAATTTACAAAAGCTTCTCTTACCACTAGCATGAATATTTAAAGTCATATGACATTTTCACTAAGGTGGAAATTTACATGTGATAGAAAAGAATTTATAACAAGTATTTGAAATAATCTAATCAATTAGTTAAGATGAGAAAATTAGGATAATAGAGGAAGATTTCCTTAAGTTTGTATTGTTTTCATATAACTTCAAATATGCTTCTAGTGATCTACTACTATTCATTAGAAATAATCTAACTTGAAATCACAAAGTACAACACTATGTCATGTTTTAGTTTAGAATATTCTTTCAATAGTTGTTTTGGAGACTGCGTTGCTAAAAAAAAATGCAGATTATCATTTTTTTTCCCTCTGCATTACTTTAATTTATGAAATCTGTAACAAGTTAATTCCATTAGTTCTATTGTTACAGGCCATGCAGTTCTCCCAGCCAGAACTTTTAGCAAGTGGTAAGCTGTTCTTGCCAGCCCACATCAGGCATTCCTTATTCTTCAGTCTTTCCTTCCCCATAACTCAGTGTATTACCATTTATGTACTTAAATACCATTAGTAAAACTAATGTTTTCAAAACTACAGACTTGAGAAAAAGAGATCCTTTTTAATTAATGATTGAAGAATGTGAAAAAAATTGCAAAAGAGAAGAAAAACATAACATCGCAAAACTTTTCTTCTCAATTGAATATTTACTCATAAAATCATGGAATCATTAAAGTTGGAAAAGACCTCTGAGGTAACCCAGTTAAACTATTAACCCATCACAACCATGTCCACTAATCCATCCGCCAGTGCCACATCCACCTGCTTATTGAAAACCTCCGGGGATGGTGACTTTTGGGATATACATCTTCTTGTGAAGGTATAACACAGGGAAAAAGGTCATGAGAGAAAGAGATAGGAAGACATAAAGGGAGGAATATGTAGAAAGTGAGAGGCTGATCCGAGAATGTGAGTAAAGAACTCTACTCTCCTTAAAGCAGGCAAATTCTGACCTCAGCTGTGATACTGTTGGGTTCAGGCTGTTATTCTATGCCAAAACATCTAGAATCTTCATCTACTTTTTTTTTTTTTTTTTTTTTTTTTTTTTTTTGTTCTTTGGTTGATGTAGGCAGGGCAAAACACAAGCACACCACTGGAAAAAAAAAGGTTTGATATTTGGCCAAACTTAAGTGGAGCTCTTCATCTGAATTTCTAGATTTCCAGGTTATTAAGATGAGAGGATATTTGTTTTTTATATTTCAATAGGGAGAAACACATATTTTAGTTTTATTAACAGGTAAACTGCTATTTAATTTTATTTTTGCAGCTTACATTAAGGACATGTATAATTCTACATAGACTTCTCATTTTATTGCTATTTTAAAATTCATATTTTTAATGGACAGCAATCAGTTAACCTTCTTTTACACAACTGAATTTGTCAGTTATCCAGAATTCACATTTATCATTTTTTCTAGCATGCTACAAGTCTTTTCTCCTTTGTTCTTCTACCTTGAGTTTTGGAATAATTTTAGCTTATTATCATGGTATTAGAGTTTGGAAGTTGACACACTGATGTTTACTTCTTTCTTTTACATTTTTTTGATGATTTTCAAAGTTAGTTTTGACCTCTGTGATTATTTTCATATGTCTGTGTTTCCCAATAAGTGCTTACATTCTTTCAGAATACCCAGATGTTGCATTTTTGAAATCTTTTAGCACAGAGTTCTTTAGGAAAACACAGGTC